CTCGAGGGTTCCCTGTGCCCTGCAGGGCATAGAACAGGGAAAAGGGCTGCAGGGCCCTGGGATTCCAGCTCAGCAGTGGAGCTTCCTCGGGGTCCTAGCCCTGACCTGACGTGGACAGACCAGGCCAGACATGAAGAAGGCGCATGTCCGGGGTTCCAGGATGGTGTCTCACAGCCACTCCTGCTGGTGAGTGGACACCAGACAGACAGAGCAGCAGCCCAGCAGACTCCGGCTGTGCCAGCAGCCCTGGGGATGGAACCCCGGCCCACTGCCCAGCCCCTCTGCCACCCCATGTAAAGCCTAGTACTTAAACAAAACCCCAGAAGAGGTAAGGCAGGGGTGAGGGCAATAATCTCTTTTTTTTGAGGCAGGGTATCACTGTGCAGTTCAGGCTGGCCTTGAGCTCACTTTGAAGCTCAGGCTGATCTTGAACTCGCAATGATCCCCCTGCCTCAGCCTCCCAAGTGCTGGGATTATAGGCGTGAGCCACCACGCCCGGCTCAATAATCTTAAATTGAATGAAACGCAGTTTCCGCCAGAGCTTGAGATCGAACTCAATCTTATTGTATAAAAGAGGGATCCCTTTCTTGTGCACACAGTCTGTGAGTGGCGTGTTATGCTCACGGGCTCCCAGGGACTTCTGAGAACAATGCTCGAGAGACCAGGGGTCCACACCCTGCAGCCCGGGCCTGCTTGCCTTTCACCTGCCCGTCCAGGCCACGCGCCAGGGCTGCCTTCGTGCTGTCCGGGCAGAGCTGAGTGGTTGCAGCAGAGACCACAGTGGAAGCAAGGCTCAGCCACGATGGGCTGGTCCTCCCAGAGACAAGTGCCAGCTTCTCCTGCAAAGCCTGGGTGCAGCCTCTGCCCTGGGCCCTCTCATCCAGACACCACAAGGGCAACATCTTAAATCAAAATCCACGGAAAGCCTCTGCCTTACTGAACTCCTTAAAATGTGTCTATGTTCAAATCCAGCTCCTCTCTCTGTCTCTGTCTCTTTCTGTCTCTGTCTCTCTCTGTCTCTCTCTGTCTCTCTCTGTCTCTCTCTCTCTCTCTCTCTCTCTCTCTGTCTCTCTCTCTCTCCCTCTCTCCCTCCCTTGTTCTCTGGTCTTTTTTTAAGGCAGGATTTTGCTATATGCTTCAGGCTGCTATGAGCTCACTTTATAGCCCAGGCTGGCCTCAAACTAACAGCAATCCTCCTGCCTCAGCTTCCCAAGTGCCGGGATTACAGGCGTGTGACACCACACCTGGCCCAGTTTCTCCTTTTCAACTTTCCTAAACGTCAGTTCTCTGACCACCTTTGCAGGTCCTTGTCTCCTACAACACCTGTTAGCCTCCTTCTCTGGGTTTTATTTCCTCTCCTAGAAGGGTGGCTCTGCCCCTGACTGCTTTCTTAAAGTTTATTTTTATTAGTCCATGTTTGCGGTACATAATAATTACATTCCCCGTGGAGAGCTGGTTCATGTACAGAACATGTCTTAGCTCTTTTTACATCCCCTTCCTCTCCCTCCCTCCAGCTCATGCTCCTCTAAGCACGTGTAGGGATCTATCGCCTCTTTTCCTATGATCTGTCTTTTATTTTACTATGTAGGTTATTTATACTCTGGGTTTCTCATATAAAAAAAAACCAATTTATATTCAAGCCATGTGTCTGTTTTCTTTTACCTCATATTATCTCAAGGTGCATCCATCTCCCTACAGACGACTCAGATTCATCCTTTTTATGGCAGAGTAGTATACCATTGTGTATAAATACTATATATTTAATCCATTTCTCTGTTAATAGACATATAGGCCACTTCCAAGATTTGGCTGTTGTGAGCTGCGCTGCTAAAAACACGGGCCTGAATGGATCACTGTAATCTGATGTGTTTAACTCCTTCAGGAAGATGTTTAAATAAGGAATGGATTGGTCAAGTGGGACTTCTAGTGTTAGTGTTTTGAGGACTCTCCATACTGACCTCCACCGTGGCTGCACAAGTTTACATTCCTGCCCACAATGTGGAAGGGCTCTACTCTTCTCTAGAATAGAGTCCACCTCCAAGGAGGTGAGCTGTCCTGAGCGCTTACTTCCGGGGCTTGGAGTTAGAGCAGCGACCTGCAGGTGTGAAGCGCCCCTTCCTAACTAGCTGCCATGAGCCGAGTAAGGTTATGAACGTCTCGTGCTGCTGTTTCTTCTTCTATATGTTCGGCCTCTACCTGAGTATGAGAATTAGTAAGTTTTGCTTCTGAAGTGTAGCAAATACACGGCATAAACTATTAGCACCGTCCTCTACACCACAGCTTCTTTTTGAAAGGATATGTTTATTCTTTCTCCTTCAAAATGAGCACAATAATTCCCACTTTGCGTGGCTGCTTGAAAGACCGGAGAGAATTAGCATGTCATCAGCACAGAAATGGAGGAGTGCAAAAGTATTGATACTGAGACTCTGCCCTCGAGCCAAACCTCCAGGATAAAGCACGCATGGTCTTCTCTTCTCTCCGTCTAGGCAGGAAACAGACCTGAGATCATGCTTTGTCTCCCCATCCAGGTTTCTAGTCCACATTTTAATCTGCCGAGTTGCCCTTTTGATAACCAAATGGGAACAGGAACCCCTGTTCTCTGTCCTTACCCTTGTGCAATTCACAATCCCAACACAACCAAGCTTCTTGTACACAGCAGGCTCCTTGGGTGTCTTTTAGATGTAATATACACCCGAGGCTCTCAAACTTCCCCGTGAAGGGTTTGTCAACTCCCAGCTCTGTGGGTCCCACTCCTAGAGATCCTGACTCTGTAGGTCTAAGGTAGACTCTCAAAATCTGCATTTCCTCCAAATTCCCAAGTGATGCTGAGGATGCTGGACCGGCGACCAGATGGAGTAGCACTGGTCTACGCAGACAAAGTGGCTTTTAATACTCTGGATCAGTCAAATATAGCAAACGTTACCAAACAACTGATAATGGATTCAGCATCAGTGCTTATCAAGAGGAGCAGAAACAGCCACGGTTTACTACATTTTCTAGCTGTAGATTCAAGGTCATCACAGTAGGAATCAGAGGTACTCACTGAGTTTTGACTGTGTGCTATACTTTTATCTAAGTCCTTTATATTTTTACATTTTTATCTTATGAGACTCTTTTAAAACTTATGGTAGGATTCTCCGAATCATTCTAGGACCATCTGACACTGACATTCGGACTAACTGCCCTCATTTTTCTTTGTCCCATGACCTCATTAGCAGCAAGAAGTATAATTTTTTTTTTTTTTTTTTTGCTTTTTAAAAGCAGTATAATTTAATTATCCGGAAGTATGAGAAAACAACAAGGGTAAATTTAAGATGAGTGATATGCACCCAGCTCAAGATGATCAAGTAAAGCTCTGTGTAAACTAAGACACCCAGTTTTTCCAGCACCATTTATTGAAGAGGCTGTCCTTTTCCCAACATGTGTTTTTGGCACCTTTGATGAAAATCAGTTGGCATAGATGCGTGGGTTTATTTCTGGGATCTCAATTCTGTTCCATTGATCTGTGGATTCATATGCTGATACCATGCTATTTTAGTTACAATAGCTCTGAAGTGTGTTTTCAAACCAGGTATTATGATCTCTTGATCTTTGTTCATTTTGTTCAGATTGTTTTAGCTATCCAGGGTCTTCTGTGCTTCCATTTGAATTTTAGGAGTGTTTCACTTTGTGAAGAATGTCACTGGTATTTTGATGAGAATTACTATGAAGATTTACACAATAATAATTTTCTCATAAACATAGGAAGTCTTTTCTTGTGTCTTCTTTAATGTCCTTTATTACAGTTTTGTAATTTCATTGTAGAAATCACTTCTTGTTTAAATTATTCCTAATCCTGGTTTTTGGTAGCTATGCAAATGTGATTGTTTTCATGGTTTCTTTTTCAGCAATTTCAGTACTGATAGTGTATGCTAATTTTATATCATTCTATTTGTCTGAATTTGCTTATCAGTTCTAACAGATTTTTTGTAATGTCTTTAGGGTTTTTTTTAGATCTAGTGCTATGTCTGAAAACAAGGATAATCTTACTTAATCTTTTCCTATTCATGTGCCTTGTGTTTCTTTGTCCTGCCTATTTGCTTTGGCTAAAATTTTCAGTACTAGACTGAATAAGACAGGTTAAACCTCTCCCCCATTTTTTTTTTTTTTTTTTTTTGTCTTTTTGAGACAGGGTCTCGATACGCAGCTCAGGCTGGCCTTTGTAGCCCAGGCTGGTCTTGAACTTGCAACGATCCTCCTGCCTCAGCCTCCTGAGTGCTGGGATCACATGCATGATCCTTTTTATATTTTTGTATTTCAGATCTTACAGGAAATGCTTTCAGGTTTTCCCCAATCAGCACAATATTGTCTGTGGGTGTACATATGCTCACATGCGGCCTTTGTAGGTTTTTGGGTTCTGTTGCTACTACTGTTTTGGTACCAGGAATTGATCTTATGAAGTCACCCTTGCCAAGCAGGGGCTGTGTCCGGTGAGCTATGCCCCTGGGCCCTATAGCCTTCATTATGTTGAGGTACTACCCTCCTATGCCTAATATATTTGGGTGTTTTTTTTCATAAAGCCATGTTGAATTTTTGGCAAACGTTCTATCTGAATTTTTAAGATGATAATATCATTTTGTGTGTCTTTTCTGTTAATACAACATATTAGATTTATTAGTTTACAAATGTTGAGTCTTGTGGAACAAATCTAACATTGCTGCAATGTATGATCAAGTAATCTAACTTTTAAAATGAGCAACAACAGGACTAGACATTTCTCCTAGGAAGAATACAAAGGGTCAAACATGTGAAAAATTGCTTAAACCCTCAGCCCTCAGAGAAACACAGATCCACCCACGGAGGCCTCACCGCACCCCTGCTGGGCTGTGCAGGGGTGTCAGGCACTAAGTGCCTCGCTCCGGGCAGCAGTGGGGGCTCCTCAGACCCGGATGGTGCCCACCCCAAGCCCCCACCCCTTTGCAGAGCTCTGCCCTGCGGTCACCCTCCCCAGGCCGGCCTACCTTTGCAGCCCTCGCAGGTCAGCGCGTTGTAGTGGTAGCCGGACGCTCTGTCCCCGCACACCACGCACAGCTCGTCCCCCTTCGCTCTGCCCGCCGCGGCGCCCACGCGGGCCTTCTTCGCCAGGGGCATCTCGGCCAGCTCGGGCTCCGCCGGGTAGGCGCTGTCGGGGGGCATCCGCCGGGGCTCGAAGGCGCCCGCGCAGTACCACTCCTCGGGCTGCTGCGCGGCGTGGAAGCCCAGGCTGGGGTAGTAGCCGGAGGCGGACACCTGCGGCGCGAACTGGACGCCGCCGTACTGCGGGAAGGGCTCCACGTCCAGGCTCTGGGCCAGCGGCCCCGCGGCCGGCTCCGACAGCACACCTGGGCGAAGGACAGCAGGACCCGGTTAGCCTCACCGCGCTGGGCCGGGGGGCAGCCGGGCAGCTGGGCGCGCGCTCCGGCCGGACACTAACGCCAGGGCGCAGTCCACGCGGACCAGCCAGGGCGCGCGGGTGACCGTGGACACTCGGCTGCCACGCGTGCACGTGCAACGTTCATGGGCTCAGAAAGACAGACAGAAGCCATGTCATTAGTATGTCGTGAGCGCTCTTAAACTAATAAGAAAACATCCAGCAGCCTACAGATAAAGGACAAACAGTTCTGGAAATAAATACAAGTGCTTTATAAACAAAAATGCATATGCCTTGGCCAATAATTAAATTCAAATTAAAGCTTCGATGTAACTGCTTTTATCTTTAAATGTGTAAAGATTTTAAAAGTTTGGTGATATCCACTGCTCATAAAGCAAACCTTCCTAGAGGACAACTGGTCAGTATCTTCCAGGATTTAAAGCTTGTCTACCCAGCATAAATTTGGGGGGTTAGAAAATTTATTTTAGGGCTGCGTCTGAATCTATTTGAAAAGGTGTTTTCATGCAAATGAACATTCGCATCTGCAGCAACTTTGTGGGAACCATAAATGATAAATATTTTAAAAATCCATCAATAGGAGTCACGTTCAAACACGCTTCTGTTCCATCCCTAGCTGAGTTATTATCCACGTGTGAAGCAGTGTGCAGGTTCTGCCATGTGGTGCTATTTGAAGACGGTAAGCTATAGAACATGCGATGTTCACATGGGCCCTTAACACACTGTGTGTCTCTGTGTGTGTGCACACGTGTGCATGTGTGTGTATTCGGAGGCCAGGTAAATTTGTGCATGATACATAAACAGGATAATAGTGACTACAGGGGTGTGAGAGGCGATGTTACTCCATTACAGCATTTTCTGGGGTAAGAGATAGAACAATAAGTTATTGTTTGTGACTCTTGTTTATGCATATGTTATTTTAATTATTAGGAAACAAAGGATAAAATAATAATTATATTATTATATAATAATATATAATTATAATAATATAATATCTGGAATCTGTCTACTTGAAGTTTAACCAGACTCCTGCTCTGTTACTATCTCTGTGCAGTTGGCAATTTCCTCAACGTCTTTAAGTCACAATTTTCTCTTTGAAAAACAGATTATTATAATAATACTTATCTGACTGGGTCGATGGAAGGTTTAAATGAGATAATGCATAGTGAGCATTTTGCTAAAGTTAATATATAATTATTCAATAAATTATAACTGGCATTAAAATATGAGTCATCATTCTTACCACTGTTACTGTTAAATGAACTGCTTTCATATAAAACTTCTAGGTCATAAAAGCCTGTTAGGTTATGAAAATGTTTCTGTTTCTTGAAAACATAAACTATGGATCTTTAGAAAATAGGACTAAAGTATTCAAAGTACTAACAAATGTAGTAGACGAGATAAGAGATGAGACAGTGTGTAAATGTGCCTGATTCTCCTAGACACTGTCAGACACCTCAGACCATAATTCCAGCTATGCCCCTCTGAACAGTGGGATTCTGAGCAATCACTTAAGCTATTGATAAAGCCCAGTTTGCACATCGAGCCTGGGGTGAAGAGCTCTGTATCGAATTCTATTGATAATCTGGTGAGGTAAGACCAATTCACAGTTCTTCCTCTGAAACCCCGGCAATGAGAGGGATTTAGAATTGGAAGTTCCTTGGACCCTAGCACAGTCTATAGTGTTATTTATGTAGCAAACCCAGGCTCAAACACAGCAACAATTTCCATGGCAAAGTGGATGAGCTTCCACACAAAGGGAAATGAATAATGACCACAGAATTGCTCATCCAGGTTCCTCTGCTGAAGAAATGTGTGCCACGCTTTAAAAAAAAATTAAAATTGGTTTCCAGCACTTTTGGGGTTTGGCATTAGCAATGAGGGCCGTGAATCTACGCCCCCAGAGGTGGCGAGCGCTCTTGCTAGAGTCCCTCTTGTGCCAGGCCCGTGTATATTCTCACCCACTTCTCACAGAGTCTAGGAGGTAGATGGCACGTGCTGTGTCACTCGTTTGTAGAAGTTACACACTGTCATTCCTGGGTCCCTACCTAAGGCGCTGAGGGTAGCGCCTTGGGGGTCTGACCTCCAAGCCTTGCGAGGGAGCCTGATTCTCCAGGACAGGATCAGAGGTGAGATGCTTCAGAGACATGAGAGTGCACGCCCCCTCTGCCTCTGGCCTCTGGCCTCTGGGCTTGGATTTGTGCCCCCTTTAATCCAACAGCGATGTCGGTGAGGCTCCACCTGACCTCCCCTTTCCTCGCCATTTCCCATATTCCCACTTCTCTATTCCTTTATCCTTTAATTTTTTTTCTTTCCGACTTTCAAGACAGGGTCTCGAGATGTAGTTCGTGCTGGCTTTGAACTCACTACGTAGCCCAGGTTGTCCTCAGATTTGAGGCAATTCTCCTGCATCAGCTTCCAAATGGGGATTACAGGCATCTGCCACCATGCCTGGCTCAGGTCCTTGAGTGTACCTTGCTGCTCCCAGATCGGGGTCTTTTCCAGCGCAGTTCCTGAGCCCAGAATCCTTCTCAGCATAGCTCCTGTTTCCCACACCTTCACCCCTCTCCTGTCTACAAACTTTGCTGTAAGTATTGCTTCTCTGGAGAAGTCTCCTCTGTTTGTGTACCTGGGGGCCCTTGTTTTGAATCTAGTTGCAGGATGTTTAAAAACCATCCCTTGCCTACACGGTCTGGGCCTCGTAAAGAAGAAACTAACAATGTATATCTACAATCTCGTAAACAGCTGGCCAGTAGCTTGTGAGCCTCAGAATTAGAGACTTTCCTACCATGGCAAAGTGGGACACATCCATAATAAATGTTGTTGAAAATAATACATTCTGCGCTGACCCAAGAAATGGCTGCCAGAGTACACAATACAGAATATCTGACAAAAATCAATTTCCATTCCCAAGCTCGACTTACCTACGTAAACCAGCAGAAAAGTCAGTGTATCTGACAGACAAAACATTTTGGTAATGCTGCTTTGTCTGCAGATAACAAAATGGAAAAGGAAAAATACAGTGATTACAGGGGAAAAAGAAAAGATATAAGCAAAATCTCGATCTATTTCATAACCAAATGTGAGTAAAATTTCTGAGCAAATGGGATTGAAAAGAATTACGAAGTGGTAAAAACACTGATTTCATTCATTCTTAGATTTTAATCTCCCGACCTATCTTCTGGGTTCTTCCTGCACCACTGCTCTGGTTCCCTCCGCCACAGGTGTAGTAAGATTAAACTGCTTGCTCAAAGACAAACAATGATGGAATCTGAATGCTTGTAGAACTCAAGGAAATGGGTAATTTTTCTTCCCTTCACAACTCAAGATTTTGACTATTCAGGATTTCTGAGCATCACTTCAGCAAAACAAACATTTCCATAATCAAGAAGCACAAGAGAGTTCCACCGTGGGTTAATGAAATCAGTGTTATACTGATTTGTGGCATCATCTAGATTTAACAGGAAACTTTCTATGAAGATAAAGGCAGTATTCTGCTACACCAGTAAAACACGGCAGAAATGTGCAAACAGCGTGCGACAACATCAGGTAACGCTTTCCTCCTCCAAACGTGTCCATTTCTAGGATTTTGCTGTGCTCATCAAATCTCTATGAAGGACTGAGTGATTGTACAGGCAGCTTCCACCAAAAAACAACACATTCCAGAATGGCCAGACCAAAACAACATCCACTATCGCCTGGCTACGAGAACTTAAACCACTGCCGATCCTTTTTCTGCTCCAATGTCATCTGCCAAATGGATCTCAGCCTTGCTATCTCATAAGGAGGCCTGAGGATAAAATATAGTTGTTGAGAAAAAGCTTTGCTAAGTCCAGTGTCCTTAAACAACATGCCGTTTCCTAAAGAACCTGCCAAAACCCTGATTCTAACCGTGGCTAATTAGTAACTGTTACTAACATACAGTCTGCTTTTATGATATAAATATCAGGACAGTTCATTCATTATCAACATCATAAACACAGTATAGGCTTCGGGGATGATAGGAAAGGCCCAGCCTTTCTCTGGCGTGTGATGGGAGCATCAAGAACCAGGACAAAAGCAGGTAAATAAGCAAACAGATACAAAACTATGACTCTTCATTCCTTCTAACAGGAAGGGACTGTCCGTGAGAGCTTAAGAAAGGGTTCATACATTTCTAGTTGGAAACACACGAACCAACTACTCCAGGGGAGCCTGAGAACCCTGAAACAGAAAGCAAGATACTCCTGGATAGAGCCTCCAGCTTCTATAGATTCCCTGGAAGACCACTATCCAAAGTGATAGAGAAGGATTCTGCACCTACGATATGGTAGCCACTAACCACGTGAGAATGTCAGATACTTGCGATGAGGCTAGTGGTACCAAGGAACTAAATTTTAAATTTTGCTAAACTTTAGTAATTAAAATTTAAGCTTAAATAGCCACATGTGGCCACCAACTGTCAAATTAGGCAGCGCAGCTTTAAGGAGTTTGAGACCAAAGTACGGTGAACCCCTGTGAGGGAATTGGACTCGCAGGATACTTAGGGTACTTTGTCAAGCTCCCCCAGGTTTCTGATGCCCTGAGTAAGCATCCAGGCTCCTTCTGGTTTCTGCCGGTTGGCTTCGGTACGTTTTGTGTACTAGGACTGAACCCAGAGTCTTGCATGTTAGGCAGGGGCTGTATCACTGAACCACAACTTCATCCATTCTTATTTTATTTAGAGACAGGGTCTCATTAAGTTGCCCGGGCTGGACTCAAACTTGAGGTCCCCTGGAGCAGCTGAGATTCCAAGTATGCACCTCACATCCAGCTCCATCCAGTTTTGTTTAATTCCTGGTACCGTGCTGACCACAGCAAACCTTTAATAAATGTTTATTGAATTGGATGGGGAGCTTGCCTCTCTGCCCTCCTTTATTTCCTAATCCACGGCTTCTTGGCCAGATGACACGGATTCCTCTGTAATGCTGTTTG